ACAGATAATGTTTAAGACTACGGTGCAGATACCTCAGTTGGCTCAAACGCAGGCAGATATCTTGAACAAAATTAGCTCACTCTGGCCTAGCGCGGGCAATTCAGTTAACAGTGAATGACCGGGCAGCCAAGATAGAACGTGCAGAAAGCTGTGCCTCGTCTGCGATACAGTTCAAAGAGTTTGCACACGTGTTAAAAGAGTCGTTCAGAAAATTGAGACACTGCATGATGGTGAAGAATGACTTCAATAACCGGTCACGAAAGGGCGATTTCATAATATATGGGCGCTTTAATACCGCAAACGGAACATGGGTGTAATTTGAAGATCCCGTTATTTTCTTCAATCCTGATAAACTCAACACTCCGCTCATTACAACATTTGTAGAAATAACGCATCGAATGGATCGGTGTGCAGCAGGAACAGCACGGCCATTGAATGTCAAATTCCCGTCGTTGAATAATAAGCAAGTACTTCCGGCTGCTGCAAAAAGAAAAAAAAGGCAGACTTTTTTCGTGTTATCCAAGGCTATTCCAGGAACGTTCAAACTGCATGCTGAAAGCTAGTTGAGTTCGCATGAAATCTAGGTGGCTCCTTTACACTTACCTTCGATTAGCGTATTACAGGAAATTAAGTATTTCTTTACTACGGTGGCAATGTTTCCGTAATCACACAGGGTCACTACTCATCACTATGCGCTCCTGAGACTGCAGCAGATGAATAGCTTGAAGGTTACTGGCGTTATTATTGTAATATGAAACATAAATTGGGACCATTTGCTTTCACTTTTGACTTGGTTAACCCACATTTACTGTGGTTGGCACGGAATCCTGGCTAGGAAGTGTTAAAAGTAACAGCGAGATATTTCCACCCAAAACAGAATTGATCGTAAACGCCGTAACATACAAGGTGGTGGTGTTTTCATAAAGGTACACAGCAGCTCGAACAGTAACATTTGCAACGCGTTATGGGAAACAGTATAGTGTAGAATCTTCGTCACCAATGGCACTTTGATAACAATCGGGTCATTTTATACGCCACGCGGTTCCAACTCTTCTCAAGCAGTATGCGAGTTGAATAATTTATTGTGGACCTTAGATGCGACGTGTATGGTTAATGGCAGAAATTTCAGCTTGCCAAAGGCCACGTAGCTCTATCTTAAATAAAATATCACCACTTCGTCATCTATTTACTCTAAATTCCAAGAAATGATAGATGAATATCGCCGGTTACAAACTGCTAAAGAAATATCTGCCGACACTGCAAATATGTTAAAATTGTTGTCTTTATATCGAACTCTGATTTGGTCTGTGGATTTATTACCTGGAATAATTGATCGTGAAATTGTTCTTGCGCACCTACCTTTAGCCCTAAAACACATAGCGGCATGCCATTAACGAGAATAGCATTTTACTGTCGTAAGGCAGATGACGCTTAACTATGACGCCAAATTTTATTTCGTTTGTTTTAAAACAGCTTGACTTGGAATCTGCATGCAATAGGGTTAAAACCGTTGTTAACATCATTATTCATTCCATCCGAGTGAAAACATACACGATAAACCATAGATGAGGACAAATCTTCGCAATTTGACTAATAAACAGAACCGATTGTTCCACGGGTACAGCAAGTTTTCGAAACCTGACTAACAGCCACCTAAAGGAACCTGTGTAAAAATAGACAAAAAAGCAAAAGGTAGCAAGCACGTATCTATAAGATGGAAAAAAAAATGTTACATCCGACGTACAGTGGGAATCGATTATATGCGAAGCACGAATGAGCAAGGCCGAATAAGTTGCTACAATAAAATCTGCACAACATTAAGAGGCGGACATAAATTATGCCGTACCAGACTTCCGCGTCATATGATTATCGTGTTTGCGCCGCGCATTTCTGCTCGTCGTCAATTCACGTCACGTAATACCGAATTTGGAATACGTAAAACCAGCGAAACTGCCGCGAGTGCTTCACGAGCGTGGTATGTACTAATTTTCTTTCATGAGACGCATATGATGATTATCATATTTGCAGCAGTCATATACCTTCGTCATTTATTTACGTAACGTAACGCCAAACTTGGTATATGTGAGGCCAGCAAAACAACCGTGAGTGCATCATGAGCGTGGCATGTAGTCATGTTCTTACATGACACGCATGTCATGATTTCTGCGTGAGGGTCTCTCACTTATGATCGTCATGCACTCATGTCATATCATACCAGTTTTGCGATATGCCATGTGAAAGAAACCACCGCAAGAGCCGCAGGATCATGATATGTAAATCATGGCAATCATGACATACAGATCCCAATTTTTATGTTACGACTAGACACTTATATTCTTCATGCAGGCATGTATACCATACCAATTTCGGTATAGATAGATCCCATTATCCAAACGGCCAGGAGGGCGAAAAGTCGTAGGTGGCTGGATGGACAGACAGACAGACAGACAGATAAATATATAGATAAATATATAGATAAATATATAGATAAATAGATAAATAGATAAATAGATAAATAGATATATAGATAAATAGATAAATAGATAAATAGATAAATAGATAAATAGATAAATAGATAAATAGATAGATAGATAAATAGATAAATAGATAGATAAATAGATAGATAGATAAATAGATAGATAGATAAATAGATAGATAGATAGATAAATAGATAGATAGATAGATAGATAGATAGATAGATAGATAGATAGATAGATAGATAGATAGATAGATAGATAGATAGATAGATAGATAGATAGATAGATAGATAGATAGATAGATAGATAGATAGATAGATAGATAGATAGATAGATAGATAGATAGATAGATAGATAGATAGATAGATAGATAGATAGATAGATAGATAGATAGATTCGTGTTTCTTGAATAGCATGCGTGCCGCATTACCAAAAAGTTCAGTACGAGAGCGTCGTCTACTCGCACCACAATATAAGGAGTGTGCACCGGCGAGCCCTTTCTGTCGTCACGCGAAAGCGCGCTAGCCTAGCAGCTGGTAGGTGTTCTGTGACCCCGCTGGCAGTGTGCGCATGGTAAATTAGACGCCGGCTTATTAGCGACCGGAAGCAGCAACGCTGCTCCACAAATGTTCTCCTTCCGTTCTATACCACAATGCAACGCCTTAATGCCACGATCACTCACGAGATGCGCTATCTGTGCTCGCGGCCACGCTTTCAGATTGTCCCATTTCTAACCATGAGTACGATACTGTTCTGTTCGCACCGTTCGTAGTACGTACTACGCTCTTCAAAAGGTCACGCACCCTCCGTCCCGCACGACAAGCCGAGAGATGCAGTTATAACTATTTGTACATTTTTATTCTAGTCATCGCGTATTTCTTGAAAAAATGAAAGCAGCTATGTGCCCATACTTTCTTATATTTCAGATCCACGTTCCCGCGCATGCATGGGCAGAAAGAAAGCAGCAAGATACGAACAAAAAGTAGAAACCACACTCACTGATGAAGCATCTTCATTCTTACCTAGCTTTACGACCGCTTTCCGTATGAAGGAATGTCAAAACAATACTAGTGCCTTAATTTCTGGAATGAAGGGAACGATTGCTTGAACCCCGTACCACTTTTTTTTATCTCACTCCTTGCTTTCAGTAGCCACCAATACGCCGATATTTTGCGTAAACTTGTTGGTTTGCACTTAAATAATTTTTGTTGATGGTTTATGCGATGACAGGCTAACTAAAAACAAGACAACACGAAAAAAAGCTCAAAGTGGGTGCTGTTTCGTCGTGTCAACATTTTCTGTGTTTTGTACTGAGCTGGTCATTGACCTTCAAGAAAGCAATATGTGAACAGCAGAACAGTACTCATAATGGCTAAGAAGATAAGTAACCAAAGTTTAAGCTGTGTAGCACTACCAGACGCTTAGGATGACAAACAGTTTGTCATTGTTTGACTTACTATTTTTCTGTCTGTACGAGCAAAGCTTGTGTTCTTTCACGTACTCTCTGATGCGGCCGCACTTTTTCATTCATTGCAGAAGCAGTGTGTAGCCTAATTTTTCATGGCACCTACTGTGTTCATCACTATTTACACGCCCTGGAATGAAGGAGTGCTTCATGAGCGCGCACCTGAAATTCAGAGGAATCGAAAGTGTGGGATATTCATAAGCTACCCAGGAACTTGCAAATAGATTGACCAACAGAAGTAGTGGAGTGAAGCGGACTCGCTCGCTGGATTTCGTGCCGACCGGTTGTGCGCCCGCGCACTTGCGACCTTCGGCGTCACCGTATCTCTGGCCGACTGGGCTCGCCCTACGTCACCTCCTGCCGCCGACGACCTTCGACGACAGTGAAGCTCTGACTTACTGGACCTGCTCTACGCCATCTACAGACGTCGACAACATCTCTCGCAAGTGTACCCCGTCCTCGGACTCCAGTGACCGTGCTTCCATCTTTCCTGTCTCTCCTATCCCCTCATTGTTGTTGCTTCTTCTTCCTCTTTTCTATACCTTTACTTCTACCCTTTTTATCCCTCCTCACCCTCATCCCTTGTGAGCCCTGTGGCGGTGTCGCTCACTGAAGCAGACAATAACAGGGCTCACTTTTCTCTTCCTTTCTCTTTATTAAGAACCACTCGCAGCGGAGTGAAGCTAAACAGAGAATTGCCTAGAAGGCACACACAGCGCCAACGTTATTCTTTGTGAATGACTATCACGGGACGTAAGCCCCGAATTTCCATGCATCAGAACAGTTGCTTCATTGGGGAACCTTCTGCTGAGACAATGGCCGACCTCCTTAGCTCAGTCTAATACAAGCCCTCTTTCTCACAATAAATAAATATGGTAACCTCAAAAACCACGTTCTTTGAAAAGGTAAAATACGAAATATTGCGTTGTCGAGGCTCGTCGAGCTCGTCTCGTTCACTGTGAATGCTCTCCAAGAAGCTCTTCGCTTTACCTCAATGAATAATGCTAACGACCAAGGCTTACTTGTGGAATTATTATTAATCAATGACGTTCACTTACACGTATCCGGCGCGCAGTGACGGCTGAGCTCAGGCGGGAGCAGGGAGGCAGCAGCGTTGCCAAGCAGTGAACGTGACTGCGGCCAGACCAGCTTGCTCAGCTATCTACCCTCGCAAAAGAAAACAGATAGGAAACGAATGGGGAGAGAGAGGGGTCCGATGATAAGGTCTCAAGCGAATCGTTAGGACGCCATCACTGCGGCGCAGCAACGTGTTCATACGCACGCAATGACTGTTTATGCTTGATGGTTTCTTAGCCCAGTGTTTGCCGTTCAACTGATTCTGGCGTTTACTGTTGACATCGCTAAATGCGCAGAGCGATAGACACATCATCTGCCAATGCTGAAATCTCAAAGAAGCACTTGTGCGGCTCGTCGTACCATCGTCTTTGTTTGTACACTCGGAGTTCCCGCTCCGGAAACCACCGCGCATTTGATGCATTGCTGCCAGCAGCGTTAACGCCATGTTGTGCGCTTCTCCTGGGTGGTTTTCATGATAAACAATTTGACAGATATCTCGTATCATGAAAATTGATCGTATGCGAAGCGTGCGAATGGAACGTGACTTTTTTCATAATATTAAATGCGAAGCATTTTTTAGCGAACTTCGGATACTTTGAGCGCATCTGTCTATCTATCTAGACGCCTACGACGTTTAGCTATCCGGGCCGTTTCGATAATGTTATCGATACGATAGTTGGCATTGCATAACATGATTGTACGGCGACCATAAGCGACTAGTATTAACATGAAAATCAGGACATGTATGTCATTAATGTTATGATTAACATTTCATGGTATTGCTGCTATTGCATTTGTTTCATTCAAATTGGGTATTGCAAAACATGGAAGAGGACTCAGCAGTTCATTTGTTTGAAAGCGTGCACACAACTCACTTCTATGAATGCAATAGCCCAAATAGAGTCTGGATAAATTTTTGGGGCAGCAGAATGTTACATTTGGAGAAGTAAGATAAATGTTTTGAGTAGGTTACAAGAAAAAAAGCGTTTCTTTTTTTTATTACAAGACCGAATTTGGAGCAGTACAAAAAAGAAGGCTTACATTTAGAAAAGAATTTATATCTACGAAGCACTCAATGCATCTAAATCGTGCAGTGAACACGAACACTGCTATTTCAAGAATTGTAGTGTTCTGAATTACCTCACTTAGGAACCAATAAGTTCACTGTAGCATTCGCCGCACTTGTCAAAATTATTGAAAGACTGCAAATTCTAGTGTGCCCCTGCCAAGCTGGTGACCTTGAAATTCGGGAGGTTCGTAAAATCGCGGAGTAGCGGCGGCAAAACATTAGACTGGCGCACATTTTTTTTTCATCTTTCATGCAGCATAAATGTCATTCGCTGCTCCAGATAATTGCCAGTAACTTTCTAGACGTCAGCGCTCACAAAGGTACTCAAAGATATGCGGCGCATATGAGTAAAATGTGTTGTGTACCGCCGTCACAAGCACTAACAGCCCCTCTAAATGATAATAAACTTTTTCCGTGGGACACCTGTGTATGTCACCCCGCCCCGGTGGTCTAGTGGCTAAGGTACTCGGCTGCTGACCCACAGTTCGTGGGTTTAAATCCCGGCGGCGGCGGCTGCATTTCTGGTGGAGGCGGAAACGTTGTAGGCCCTTGTGCTCAGATTTGGGTGCACGTTAAAGAATCCCAGGTGGTCGAAATTTCCGGAGCCCTCCACTACGGCGTCTCTCATAATCATATGGTGGTTTTGGGACGTTAAACCCCACGTATCAATCAATCACTTGTGTATGTCACGAAGATGGCTTAAGGAGAGTTCAGTGCAAACTAGAACTAGGCCAAGCAATTTTTAAACCTTTAACCCTTCCCCCCCCCCCGCCTCTCCTCTATAAACCAAGCCCCACTTTTAAATGCGAAGCATTTCTTAGCGAACGTCGGCGACTTTGAGCGTATCTAGCTATCTAGCCACCTACGACTTTAAGTTCTCCTGGGCGTTTCCATAACGGTTGGTATGGCATAAGATCACTGTATGACGAGCATATTTGACAAGTCACAACATGAAAATCATAATATGTATGTCATGAATGTCATGGTTTACATTTCATAGTCCTGTTGCTCATGTGGTGGTTTCGTTCACATGACACGTTGCAAAACTGGTACGGTATGATATCATTGCAGGTGAACACAAGCACAGACAATAAAATGAAAATCAGGACATGCATGTCATCTAACAACATGACTACATGCCATGCTCATGATGCGCCTGCAGCTGTTTTGCTGACGTCACTTATACCAAATTTGGTATTACGGTACGTGAATAGATGACGAAGGTCAGTGCAAGACTGCTGCAAAGATGATAATTATGAGATGCGTGTCATGTAGCAACATGACTACATGCGACACTCACGATGCGCTCGCGGCCATTTCGCTAGCTTCACATATTTATTTATTTATTTATTAGAATACCCTCAGGGCCCGTAGGGCATTACAGAGGGGGTGGGTACAACATATATAACACACAAGAAAAAAAGACAAAATAAAGAAACAAGTATCAGATGCGCAAATCAGGAAGGCAACATAAGTCAACTAAAAATGTATAAGAATTCAAGCACATACAAGACAAAGATAGATAGTGGAAACTGCGTATAGTTACAAGCATTGCTGAGAAATTGCAGTCTTGAATAACAAAGGGTCAAAATGACGAAGGTATGGGACTTGTGCAAACATGCTAATCATGAGGCGCGTGTCATGTGAAAACTTGACTACATGCCACAGTCAAGGCGCCAATAAATTTCGACGTGACCTGGCGTGCGTGCGCGCCGGCGTTCGTTTCATCGCGTCACGCCAGGCACTGGTCCTGCCATATGTCGCTTCGACGCATGCGCGTTTCATTGCGCCCGACGTCTGCCCGTCACGAAAAGAGGCAGATGCAGTGCTGTCTGCGTAACGCACCGGCGCGAAATGCAAAATGCAGCATGTCGCATCTCGTGCCGGTTGCCGTCGGGTAGCGCCAACGGATGGTGGTCGCACCTGCCGTCAGACTATAGAGTGCTCGCGCTTTGCTAACGTAGTGTTGCTGTGGCCAGAGCTCGCACGCCTCAACGTTACGTTGTAGTAAATTGGTCCCTTTATGATGCGCTTGCGGACATTTCGCTAGCTCCACATATACCAAATTCGGCGTTTTGTGACGTCAATGGATGACGAAGTTGCTCTACATATACTAAACTGGTAAGAAGTGACGTGAATAGACGACGAAGATAAACGGCACATGCAAACATGATAATCATAACACGGAAGTCATGTACGGCATAATTTCCTTCTACTTCGCTACGTTGTGCTGATATTAAAGTGACAAGTCTACCTTCCTCATTCGTCCTCCGCATATAGTTGTTTCCCTATGTACGTGGGGTCTGCCAATTTTTTTTCATTGTTTCACAGCGAAAGCTGTTACGGGGACTCAACAAGGCTGGTATGCACCATAGTTGTTCTTAGCCTGTGGTCCTAACTACTATCAAGCAAAATAAAAAAAACTTACTAAATGAAAAACGCAAAGGATATACTGAGATCCAAACCTGGGTGCCCTGCGTGCCAGCCCAGTATTCAACCACGCAGCCACACCACTGCTGCAAACTCCGTTGCAAACTGCTTTTAGGCAGGCTTGATATCGGAAAAGGAATCACATTAATATGAGTAATGAAGCATTTTAGAAAACGAAAAGATTAAGGTGTCACACACTGTGAGTTCCGTAATGAGTGCACCGTCCAATTCTCCAACCCATTACAAAATCTTCAAGGATCATGCTTCCTCGTCGTCAGCCACAGTCAGTCAGTCAGTCAGTCAGTCAGTCAGTCAGTCAGTCAGTCAGTCAGTCAGTCAAGAACTTTATTAAGAGCTCCTGAGGAGTTTAAGCTACCAGGGTCAGCCTTAAAAGACACCGTAGCAGCTTTTTTGTTAGCATGGAAATATTGTACGAAATCGCTTGCAAGTGTGTAGCGGGTACCACGCTTCTTAGAAGAATGATGAAGGATGGCGTAGGGAACACCTCCTTGCTAAAAAAAATTATGATTCATGGCGTTTGTAGAAGTGCTTGTAGAATACCCAATAAAGCTTATGAAAGGCAGCTGTTCGACCTTCCGTTGTGATTATGTCACACTTTCAGTGCCGCACTGTCGTTCTTTTTTTTTTCTATCGTGGTGGCGTTAGGTACCGGGTACATCAAGGATCGCTTGCAAGGCGCGTTCGACCAGATAAACTAACAATGGCACGCGGATATCTATCGTCAGAATGACGCAACTTCAACCTAGAAAAATGTCTTATGGGACGTTGTTATGGCAATCAACGCCATGGCCAGCAACGGTGGTGTTCATAGCACATCGACCTTGCCCGCACGCGGCAAAAGCGGCATACGTTTTTAACATGCCAAAACCGCATTTGATTGAATTCTTTGACGCAAAGTGCAGGTGGGCAATGTGGCTGGCCTCGATTTCTCGCTGAAATCAGGCTCCATCTCATAATTGACTGGTGACGTACGGGCAAGAATGTAGTAGGGCCCGTGGTATCGTGCCAGTAATTTCGACGAAAGGCCAGGAGTACTCGGTGGAATCCGGAGCCAAACAAGAGCACCAGTCGTGAAAGTAGAGAGATGTCGGTCGGTGTCATGCTGTAGCTTCTGATGGCCTTCGTCCTCGGCTGTCAGTGAATGGGCCAATCGTCTGCAATCTTCTGCGTACCGGGCAACATCAGAAATTGCAGTGTACTCAGAGGAATCAGGCGTGTATGGGAGGATAGTGTCCAACGTGCACGATGGTTCGCGTTCGTACAACGGAAAGAAAGGGGAAAACCATGTTGTCGCGTGCGTAGCGGTATTATACGCAGACGTGACGATTGGAAGGACAGTGTTCCAATTGGTCTGGTCTGAAGCTGTGTACATCGTCAACATATCACCGAAAGCTCGATTAAATTGTTCTGTGAGGCCATTCGTCTGCGGGTGATATGCTGTCGTCATGCGATGAATCATGTTGCACTTAGCGAGCAAGGCTTGAATGGCATCAGACAAAAAAACACGCCCCCGGTCGCTCAAATGTTCGCGGGGAGCACCATGGAGAAAAACAAAGTTGCACAAGATGA